AGGGGAATGATAGGGATGGGGAAGCGCGATGAGTAGCGCTACTTCGAGCTCGTCGGTCGGAGTGCCAGGGATGGGGGATCGAGTCGTGGGTGACTCCGCGATGGGGGAGTCAGGGACTGGGATGAACTCATCCGCAAAGGCGTTCCAGTTGATCCGCGCAGGACGGTGATGACGGTTCGGGCAGGGGTTTTGCTCGCACGGTACCCAGTACCAGAGTCCGTCGTCTAGGTCCTTCCGTCGGTGACAGTGGTCTTGGTCTTCTGTGTCCCACACGTGAAGTCTGCCGGCGCAGTCCAGGGTGGGGGAGACAATGTAGCGGCGGCAGGGACACTCTTGTTCAGAGCGTCAGCACCGGGGGAGAGATCTCGACCTAATGTCGCGGCGACTAGGCGCGTAGACTCGGGTCGACGTTCGGCGACGACCCCGTAGGCGAGCGGCGAGGAGCCGAAAGGGGAGAAGAGAGGGTGAGAGGGATAAATGTATCAGAAAACTCGACAGGGCAGAGCGGCGGTCGGCACGAAGGCACAAGACCGACGAAAGCTAGTCTTCACACAACCAGCGACAGACTAGTCCCAATGACCAAGTTATACATTAGCAATCGAAGGGAGATACAACGCTAGGGTCACTCACCTAGTCCCAATGACCAAGAGGTCGAGATGGGGACTAGGGAGCGCCTAAGGGGGTCCTTATATACTCGAGGGGCTGCTTAGCAACCAAAGACAAAGCACGAGAGCGAGGCAGTGAAGATGACAAAGGAAGAACAAAGGGCAAGAAAGAAAAGGCAAGAGCATGGTGATCATGGGAACGGAGCATGTGGCAGTGGGAACGTATCTACGGTGTCCAAACTGGGATGGGCTAAGAAAGGAAATGGTCCGAAAATGGAAGGTGGGCGTCAAGGGGAGGGGAATGGGCGGCAAAAAGGGGCGTCTGTCCAGCGTCCGTGACACCAAGTACCTGTACAAGTCCGTGACGTTTTCCTGATGTGGACAATGTCTGTTTCTCCCATGATGGACGGTGGCTTGCCTCGATAAGCTACAATAGCAGCTGTGTATGGGATGTCGGCGCCAGCACAGTGCACCACATGTATTGGGGAGGACTTCGCTCTACCTGGAAGTTCACCGTGGCATTCAATCCTCAGAGCACGCACCTCGCCATTGGAGATTCCATGGATCTTGTCCGAATCCGGGATGTGCAGACGGGAGAGAGCCTCTTCACCTCGGAACAGCATGCCCATGCTGTAACCCACATAACGTTCTCATCTGATGGGATACGCATACTGTCGGCATCGAGTGACGGCACAGTGAAGATCTGGGACGCATTCAGCGGCGCTCTGATTCTGTCGCTCGAAGGACATACCTGTGGAGTCAACAAAGCCTGCTTCTCTCCGTGCGGGAAGTACATTGCATCCGCATCATCTGACCAGACCATACGGCTGTGGAGCATAGACGATGGATTGTGCGTAGAGACACTCTTCGAGCACAGAGCCAACGTCAGACACGTAGCTTTCTCCCCTGACGGAACGACGCTATCGTCTGGTGCATGCAATGGGACAGTTGCTATCAGACGTATGCGCGATATTATCCCAGTACAAGATACGGATATGTAAGATTGGCCCAGAGCACAATGTGGGGCATCACGTGCCATTCCTGTCACGCTTTGGCAGGGAAAAGTGCGAAATCTGCATAGGCTCGACGAGGGGAGCCCAATTGACAAAATGGCGACCGTAACTTTGTTGCGGAGTGCCCTTTCTACAAACTTACGAGTTTTCTGATACGTTTATCCCTCTCACCCTCTCTTCTCCCCTTTCGGCTCCTCACCGCTCGCCTACGGGGTCGTCGCCGAACGTCGACCCGAGTCTACGTGCCTAGTCGCTGCGACATCCGCACTGCGCCTTGGCCTTCAAGCAGGCATATTGCTTTGATCGCAGCGGGAGCATCTCTGCCATAAGTATCGCATGTCCAAAGACTTGATGGCGACCGCGTTTTGTAACTCGAGATCCACCTGGGCCATGATGCGTCTCTTGGCCACTTCACTTTTCATTTTCAATGCGGTTACAGCTCTCGGTGCCGCGACCTGGAATGCGGAACCCTTCAATCCCCCCTCTGTTCCACTTGCTGTTAGGTCACCCTACCTCTCGGCATGGCTTGCTCAAGGGCAAGGCACGGCACTCAATGACGCGTGGCCGACGTTCTGGACTGGCTCCGTAAGATACACATTGATTCCCGTCCGCATACTTTCCGACATCTCAGCAGATCCTCGGGTGGGCCGGATTGGCCAAGGTGGATGGCCAGGCTTACATCTGGATGGGACAGCCTGGTATCCCCAATGTTAATATACACAAGGCCACACAGAAGAGTTTGCAGGTAAGCATCGTGTAGCGGTCTTAATGTTCAGAACCACATTGCTCAGTCGTGTATGCAGAGTTTACTTCCACCCAGAGCGTGTTCGTAATGACGGCAGGACTCGTCGATCTTACTATAACTTTCCTCAGCCCAATTGAGGTAATACGTAGCATCGTCTCTCCTCTGTAGTATCTCACAATATCTGTGCAGCCTTCAGACTTCGTGAACCAGTCCCTTCCTTTGTCCTATTACTCGGTATCTGCGGCATCAACCGACGGCAAGTCTCACAGCGTGCAAGTGTATGCAGATATTAGCGCGGAATGGGTGAGCGGCGATGACACCCTCATCGTCAACTGGGCCACAACAACTGGGGATGTGCTCTCGCATGAGGTGAAGCTGGATACCCAGACCACGTATACTAAGATCAACGATCGCATCCAACGTGGGTCATTATGATGGGCAAGTCTTGTCGACTAGTGCTAACCTGACTCCAGAGGGTTCTGCCTTCCACTCTACGCTCAACGTGAGCCGCCACCGCCATTTCAACGGGATTGTGCTCTAACGTATGTTCTATTAGACGGCTGGTGCCACTTTTCAGACTGGTGAAGATGTTGTCGTCCGAGCCCAGTTCGCTACCAATGGGACACTTTTGAATACGCAAGACACATCATTCCGTGCTGTAAGCGACCGCTGGCCCGTCTTCGCCTTTGCGCATGATCTCGGTGCCGTTGCGTCTGCCACGACTCCCGTCGTCTATTCCATCGGCCATGTGCGCGATCCTGTGGTCCAGTACATCATCATGAACGCAGATACGCAAGCTCGGAGTTCATACTTCTGGGCACGCTTCGCTAGCATCGGCGATGCGGTGAGTTTGTGTAGGAGTATCGCTTCGATTCAGCCTTACTCGTGGCATTTCATCAGATCTTGACCTTCCTTAACGACTATCCTAACGCTCTGGCACGAGCCAATGTGTTTGATGCTCAAGTCAAGTCTGATGCTAGCAAAATTTCAGCTGACTATGCATCTCTTGTGGCCTTGTCCATCCGGCAAGTTTTCGGAGCTACCGAGATTACCGTTACGAGTGGCTTGTTCGATAGTTCAAACATGCTGATGTTTATGAAGGGTGCGCAACATCTTATATATACTCCCATTGATCAATTGTACGAAACTTTGGCTCAGAGATCTCCAGCGATGGGGTAGTTATTGTCTAACTGCAGGACGGTTCAGAGGCTAACTCCTACGCAGAACGTTAACACTGTGGACGTTGTATACCCCTCTTGACCCTTGTTCCTCTACACCAACGCGACTCTCGGCAAGCAACTGCTTCTTCCCCTTTTTGAATATCAGACGACAGGGCAATACCCCAACCAGTACTCGTGGTTGCGGAAAGTATTCGAACGCCCGTGTTTAGGCGCCCATTGACCGCTCCTCCTCCTGGTCCTGTAAGTAGTATAAGTAGACATATCTCTACCGTAATTGAGGTATATATTGCTGTTATTGTCAGGAACGTGTGCGCACCATGTGATAGGAATATGATCTCTATCTTGAGCCAGACTAGGCTCAACAAATCTCAGCATGCTCAGTGAGCATGAGCAGAACATTTGCTGTTCTTGGGTACTGAGAATTGATCAGAGTACCTCCAAATTCTTGCGCATGAGTCTGCTCATAAGGGAGATTCTACAACATTAGAAAGTATGGTGTATCTATGCCTCTGCTTGGAAGGATTAGTACTAACATAAGTCGAAAGTAAGCGTGGTTCAAGGATACTGTATTCTGCTGGGCATTTCTCCAATGCCATAGCTAAAGCTAGAGACTTGAGTTCTGATTATATTAATATACCTTTCTATGCATGTACCTATAACATCAGGGTGCACAGTATTCATAAGGGGAACCAAAGAATGGCAAGAAAGTGTCTTACTAGCTTTATAGAAAGAGCTGGTCTAGTATTGTAGGACCATTTTCTCAAGAAAGAGATGGTCAAAAGCTAGCAACTACTAATGATATAAACCCT